CCATTGAGTGATAGCCGAGTGGATGTAAATGCTGAAGAACTCTACATTTCAAAAGTTTGAAGTGAAAATACTAGGAAAATGTTATAATTATGAGCAAAAAAGGAACAATACAATGGTGATTTTGAAAAAAAAAAAACACTTCTGCCACAAATTTTCATCTGTATTGATACTTGAATTAATTGACAACTTACTATTGATTTTGACTTCCCAACCATACGGTAGGCCATCCCGTTGTCGTATCATCACCGGAAGTCTCATCATACTTGCTCATCGCATCACGAATATGTGGAGGAAGAGCAGCTCTCCCAACACGACTACCAGATGGGTGCTGTAGTTCTGCTTCCGCTAAAATAGACGTTGTTAGCGCAAAACCAAAAGAAAACCCAAAAAATCACCCATGTAAGGCATTTTCTAAGTGCTTTAAAGAGAACAAATCGAACAGAACGTGCTCGTTGACAGGAAATTAGCAACTAAAGAGGTGAAGGTACACGAAAGCGGAAAAGTACTAAAGTAGCAACTCTATGCAGGCACCAAAAGGCACGAGCCGAGCGACGAAGCCGACCACAGAATGCACTACAACACCCATATTCCACCTTTCTGCTCATCGGTCTTTTCAAGCCAAATAAGACCAGAGTACTGGGTTGTTTCAAGTGATATTTGCTCTTTTTGATCCTCCGAAATCTCCTCTTCTACCTTTTCCATTGGAGTAGGCTTTGCTAGAAACGTATGCTAGGCTAATTTCACTCTTACTATGGGTGATATACAAAACTGCAAAGTCGCACCTTCAGAAGATCCTTTGCCAGCTTCAGTTTCGCTAACGCTAACTGAAAATAAACAAAGTTGTGAAAAGTGGATCGAACACAATAAGCAGAATTGTGGAAATGATGCCAGAATAAACTCAAATGAGTGAGTAGGAAAAATGCTAATTTCCAGTGTAGCGATATTCGGCACTTTCAGAAAACAACTTACAGTCTCTGGTTCTCTTAGGACTTGGACGCATGTCGTTGCTACAGTATGTTGGCACTCCATCCTCAGAATCTTCCATCTTCCGCAGTTCTACCCATTCACAGGCACCCAGATCGGTACCGTCAATACCTACGTATGCTATATGACTGATATTACAATCTAAGGAGCACTAAGTACTATAGCGATGCAACAGAAAATGATAATGAAAGACATTCAACTTACTATCGGGTAAATCTTTGACTTTCCCTCCACCGCACAAAAATGCTTTAGCGGCAGTCTCATCGATAACTGGTTCTCCTTCCGAGATCCCTGAAAATTATTGTCTATAATTCTGCAAGAAAATTAGGGCATACCTAATCCAACTGAAAGTGACTTGCCTGGTACGCCCCTGATGCAAAGTAGATGACTTTCACAAGCTAGGAATGTCTCGATGACATTATTAGGATTATTAGCGTCGAGAATTGCAACATGGCTTTTTCCCTGATTGGAACTGCCCACCCACACAACAGAGGATGCTTCCCACTCGGCAAGTTCACATTCACGAGCATCCAGTGCTCGTGCACGCTGCAATTTCTGCTTTCAGGATAAAAACAAGAGGTGAAGCTCATTTTACAATTGATAGAGATAGGGTTAAAGCAATCATACCGTAATTTCATCCTCAAGCTTATCACTGCTCTCTTTTCCTTTCGGCAAAATGGCTGCCCTTGGGGAGAAATAGATCGGATCCCCAGTGATGAACTTGCCGTCTTTATCTAATCCTCCCCGCAATGTCACAGCGGTAGCACACCAAACCTTAAAATTATTTAATATATTTCTTCACACTAGACAAAGTTCTTGCCATATGAGAGTGACTATTTATGAAAGCAAGTTAGATAAATATAGTAATTTTGAAGTGATGTGTTGAGCAAGAGGATACAGGAAAGGTAACGTGCACCAACGCTTAGGTATTTAAGCGAAAAAAAAAAACTTAGAAGCCTGTGAACAAAATCAGAACAAGCAAACATAATAATTTTCAAGTATCAGACTAAACAAAAACGAAAGAGAGTCAAAAAATTTGATATTGAACTCAAAGTTACCTTTATCGATGGTTGGTTTTCCATTAGAGGTCGACAGCATACTGGAACTGGTACCATTGACGAATTCGTATTATCAAGCGTTGCTGGCAATGACCATCCATATGCCTGTATACAGAAGGAATAAGGACTTGACAAGGAGAGGAGTAAAGTGTCAGTTAAGCCAACAAAAGAGGATTTTAAAGTGTTATATCAGGCAGTCACTAGCCATAAGTCCAGGGAAAATAGATTGGGAGATAAGACGGTATCATTGAATCAAAGAAGCTGGCATTACCAATCTCCATGATTCCTAAGATTTTTGAAGGATTCTACGTTAGATAAGAGTCCAAAGTAGGGGGTGAATAGCATTTTCACTCAATGTGTTTATCTCATCGCAATCACTTCTATTTTTGATTAACCAAATCGTACTATCGTCTATTATTAAT